TGTACTAATACATATTTTTCTTTGAAAATGCAGTTCAAAACAATTTTTTTTTCGCAACAATATAATTCTAATGTAATATTTGACAAATTAAAAAATACAGGAAGATACCAAAAAAAAAAACATACAAAAAAAACAACAAAAAATAATAATAATAAAAAACTAATTGTTTGGATGGAGGTACAGTATGTAGGATTTTCATAAAGAAATGAATGTTTGCAGATTGTAAACTTAGGAACTCAAGAGGCCTGTTGAGGTTTCTCTGTTGCGGAAACGAATAAAAGAAACTAAAATAATAATAAAATAAGATAAATAAAAATAAATAAAATAAAGCACAATAAAATAAAATAAACATATATAAAGTAATTATATTTAAAGTAATTATTTTGCTGCTTAAACATTCACAATCAATACCACGCTAAAGGGATATGCACTCACCTTACTAGTATAAGGTGTACATAATAAAGTGTGTATTTACTGATGTGTTTTATAGAAAATACCACTATTGCTTGATATTATCATATCATCCAATGTGATCCCCAGGGAAATGCATACCACACGTTGAAAACCTTTTCCTGATGCAAGTAAACCACAAGAAGCCGGTTACTTTTTTCTATTAAGATCTGTCCTCGATGTCCTGGGACATTACCATCTTTGACATAATCTAATATAGACAGCTTCATACATTTAAAGTTATATCAGATGCATTGCGTGTATATTTTATCTAATGAAAGCACAGCTGGGGAAAGTAAAGGTAGGGGCGGACAAAGTTCATGATCAAGACAGATAGCAAAAGTGAACAAGCGAATCTCTAAAAAGCTGACTGATGTTCTCAAAACATTGCATTGTAATTTATAAAAATTGAATAAATACATGCCAGTGATTAGATTTACTCAAATTTGGTGCTTAGGGAGCAACAATTCCACGGCCCTTCATATTGGTATATACTGTAGCACATTATACTGTATTTTAGGGATAGGAATCTTTACTTCACGCTCCGATTCTAATTATGAGAGTCACGGTTTGATTACAAAATGATTCTTAACCCAACTTTACATAACCTAACCTACCTTTACATTTTAACCAAAATTTGAGTTTCTATGCTTTTTTCATTATATATATATATATATATATATATATATATATATATATATGACAGTAGTGCCATTTTAAAAAGTATTTATTTTATTACCAAAGTTATATTTAGGATAAAAAAAGCTCGAAAAATGACATAGAAACACCAAACTAGAGCTATAAAAAAAAAAAAAAAAAAAAAAAAAACAGACAATACTAAATGCAAAAAAAATATAAATAAATAAAAGTGCATTCATTTTTTGTTTGTATAACCTTCTATTAACAAAGACATATCTTCAGAGCAAAATAAGTGGATGTAAAAATGATATGTGGAAATTATTTTGTAACTACTTTAAATCACAGAGAACTTGTCACTGCTTCCTTTGTTTGCAACACTGTGCAGTAAGTTAGTTCATTTTCATTCACAGGCCGCAATTGGAGAACACACGCTACAAGCTTCCACTTATCTTGTTGCAACGGCAACACATGATTCTATCGTAATCAGTGTCCATTCATCACATTAATGCCACCATGTCCACATTCTTTGCTCGCATGCCAGATGAGAATCACAGTGGCACATTGATGACAACGTGAGGTCTCAAAGCTGACAAGAAGTGGAACATCATATCTTTAAACTCATTATGTTTGTCTATCTTTACTAAAAATGAAGCAAATTCGGCAGCATATGCACCTGTTTTTTTTCCATTTCTAGCTTACGCATGCGCTGGCTTCTACCATCGCAATATAAATTTAATACTAAATAATATTTGAACTTATGAGAATCAATTCAAAATCATTAGAGAACATGCATCGTTGCAAGTTTTGAGTGTACATTATACATTAATGTATACATTAATGTATATATTATGTATTTATATTATTATATTCAGTATATTTCAATTATATTTTGTTCTTATAACTTGTGCATATATATATATATATATATATATATATATATATATATATATATATATATATATATATTGAAGGATTCGGATTTCTGCTTTCCAATCCGTCTCATCATGGACCAACGTTTATACTTTTCATCATCCTGTTTCTTAGTATTTAACTGTGAATTGATTTTAATTAATGAATAAGTTAACACATTGCTTAATATAAGAATGTTCAGTGCATTTGCCTGTCTCTTTATACCTATTTTCAGGAGCCAGCAAACTAGGTCAGAGGTCATGGAAATCTTGAGTGGAACTGAGGACTGGAAACAACTGTTTCTATTGTTATTTCTAGGAGTTAATATTGTCTAAAAAGTCTAAAGTGATTTTGCTATAGATTTACGGTTAAATCTTTTAAAGTGATTCTACTTTTTATTCAAGATAGACTTTGTGTAGTAAGAATATAACTGCCTGAATGTAGATTATACCAGTTTTTAACCAGTTTTGATAAAGACGGCTGACGGTACACTCAGCCTTGGATAAGAAACAGATTATACTTTAAGTGTGTGTGTTCTATTTGATTGTTGATCCGTTTCACAGGTCTGGAGTCAGCTCTAATCAGTCTAAAGGATGTCTGACGTTTATGTTTAGATATTGTTCAGAATTGTACGCACGAACCTCGCGTGGAAATGTTCTTAGTTTATCTGTGTTTTAACCAATCAGGTTAGAACACCTATATGTATGACGCAGTTAATGACGTTATGTGAGAGTATAATTGTTATTGATTGGTGATTGTAAGCAGAGCGGCCTAGGAACTCATTGAGAGTGTTGAAGCTGGCTTCTGCAAATGAAACTGCAAACTATCTTCAGTAAACTTAATTTATTTTTTTTAAATCTCTGACTCCGGCTCTTCTTCATCAACCAGACTGGTCGTTCTTTGGGTTAAACTGTAAACTATCCCTACAGTTTATACACACACACACACACACATACACATCGTTAGGTCCATAAATATTTGGACATTGACACAATTCTAAAATTTTGGCTCTATACACCAACACAATGGATTTGTAATGAAATGAACAAGATTTGCTTAAACTGCACAGCGTCAACTTTAAGTTGAGGTTTTTAACATCCAAATCAGGTGAACCGTGTAGGAATTACAACAGTTTGCATATGTGCCTCCCACTTGTTAAGGGTCCAAAAGTAATTGGCTTCTCAGCTGTTCCATGGCCAGGTGTGTGGTATTCCCTCATTATCCCAATTACAATCAGCAGATAAAAGGTCCAGAGTTTTCTTCAAGTGTGCTATTTGTATTTGAAATCTGTTGCTGTCAACTCTTAAGATGAGATCCATAGAGCTGTCACTAACAGTCAAGCAAGTCATCATTAAGCTGAATCTTTCCCTGATGAAGAAAACAACCTTCACAATAGTTGGCCAGATAAAGAACACTCTCCAGGAGGTAGGAGTATGTGTATCGGAGACAAGAGAAGACTACACTACAGTGAATACAGAGGGTTCACCACAAGATGTAAACCATTGGTGAACCTCAAAAACAAGAAGGCCAGATTAGAGTTCTAAAAAAAGTCTTCACAATGCTGGAACAACATCATATAGACAGATGAGACCAAGATTAATTTGTACCAGACTAATGGGAAGAGTATGGAGAAGGAAAGAAACTGCTTATGATACTAAGCAGTAAAGCATGATGGTAGTTGTGACAAGATGTGGACATGTATGGCTGTCAATGGAACGGGTTCTCTTGTAATTATTGATGATGTAACTGATGACAAAAACAGCAGGATAAATACTGAAGTATTTCAGGAAATATTATCTGCTCATATCTAGCCAAATGCTTCAGAAGTCATTGGACGACCCTTCGCAGTGCAGATGGAGAAAAACCTAAAGCATACTGCAAAAGCAACCAAATAATTTTTTAAGGAAAAAGAGTGGAATGGGACTGCAATTTCGAAGTCAATCATCTGACCTAAATCCAATTCACCATGCATCTCACTTACTGAAGACAAAACTGAAGGGAAATGCCGCAAGAGCAAGCTGGAACTAAAGACAGTTGCTGTAGAGGCCTGGCAGAGCACCACCAGGGATGAAACCTGGTGTCTGATGATCAAAGTTTGATTTATGATTATTATTATTATTATTATGTCCAATTACTTTTGGACCCTTAACAAGTGGGACGCACATTTGCAAACTGTTGTAATTCCTACAGCATTTACCTGATTTTTATGTAAATTCCCTCAAATTAAAGCTGACACTCTGTACTTAAAGTACATTTTTGTTTCATTTCAATTCCATTGTGTTGATGTATAGTGCCAAAAATTATAGCATTTTGTCTATATTAAGCAACTTACATTTGGAATTACTTAAGCACAAGCTTAATTCCGTGTGTAAATCAATTTCCATATATTAATTTATTTTTATATACACACTCGATCTTACAAAGAAACTGTACGTATTGTCAGAAAGTGCCTAATTGCTACAAATTTACTATTTCATATAAATTTACATATATAAAACGTTTTACGTATGGAGTTATGTGCGGATTTCACTCACTTAAAAAGAATGCTATTTTGTTCAAACTCAACCCCTAATCCTATCCCTTATTGGGGGTAAACATATCGTAATAAATCGTATGAATAAAAATCATACAAATGAGCAAGAATTAGCCACTAAATCAAAAAGTTACAAATTGCTGTGGGATTGCGTCATGTGGGAGTTGCTGATTACATAAGCATGGGCATAGTGTACTTGTGCCACATCTGCCCTCTCCAAGCCACCATGCCTAAACCCTTTACCTCTGAATTGCACGGAACGACTGAATGAGGGTGTGAGAAAAGGGACAGGAAATAGAAGAGTCTCAAAGGGATGGCGCAATGTCACCTTACAGCAGCTGCTGTTGTCATCACACTAATGCAGGCGCACTGACCCCTCGACCCTGCCAGTTAATGAGGGAGGAGGGGGCTCACGCAAGGACGACACACACCGAGGCACCGGGACCACACAAAAAAAAAAAAATCTTACCTGGAAATCTTTCTCCTCTAGTATCTCTTTCCTCCATCGCACCAAGAAGGCAGCACACACATACAAGTGGAAGTGAGAGAAACCTTCAGGTTCCGCCTGCGAACACAAAGATGACCGGGTCAATACCAATTTGCATTTTGACATTTCAATTTATGACATCACAATCGTGGCCTCGTTAACATATGATCAGCCAGCTTGGTTAATAAATTATGTTTTATTAGCATTCTGATTAAGCCTTCATTTCTAATCGTCCATTTTCATTTTAATTAGTTACTAAATTACTCATTTGTTGTATAATTTTGGTCTATTCATTAGGGCTGCACAATTTGTATTTCAACATCGATATTACAATAGTCATATTGCAAAGATATGCAATGTTAAGTCTTAATTATAGTTGACTAGAAGTTACAGAATTGTAGTTAATCACTGTATTTATGCGATTTATGCAGCAACAACAACAAAATGTTTTTCTCATTTAGAATTTTTGTCTTTGTTATTAGTCCAAATAACTACATTTCAAAGCGAAAACGAGATTATTTAACTTATTACATTTGAATTACATTAACTTATAACTTATTACATTTGAATTACACTAACTTATAACTTATTACATTTATATTCAAAACAAAACAAAATTTTTACTTGATCTAAGATTTTATTTAGGTATTTGAACTAGTAAAGAAAGAAAAGCATTACTGCATTGTGATTATTCAATTTCTGTGCCTGAGTATTGTTAGACTCTCCAGAAAACAGTTAAATAGTGGTATTTATTAGGTTCCTTTATAAAAAAAAAATTATATATATATATATATATATATTGGTGAAATACACTTTGACAGGATATCTTTTGAAACAAGTCCAAGAAAATGGCTTTAGCAACAGAAAACCAGTGTATCCAAGTACATATGACATTACAACAATTTTCATTAATAAGAGACAAAGACTAAAAAAAAAAAAAGTATGTATGTATATATATATATATATATATATATATATATGTATATATATATATATATATATATATATGTATATATGTATTTAGTTTGACCTTTTATGTTTCTCATTTTTATTTTTCTCACCACTTATTACATCTCCTTATTTAGCTTTCTTGACACATTTTCTGACGGTGCTGAAATAAAACAATCAAATTAAAGGGCAACCTGAAACAAGATGAGCCTTTGTGTGAAGGCCTACTGGGTATAATAATAGTAACCCTTTAACAAGGCCTTGTTCTGCAGAATGGGACACAAAGTGCACATATTCCTTTTCAGACAGCTTTTACTGTGATAACCTTGGCGAACCAATTCGTTCTCTATTTGAATATGAACATATGAGGAAAGGGACACAGCTTAAGCATGAGGATCAAATCAGTCATGAAAACAAAAGCCATGCAACAGTCACATGTGGGATGCTGGTATATTTGCTATTGAACAACACAGATTTCATTGTAGATATAATTATTACAGTTGTTGTTAGTTACAGGCACAGAACATATATAGTTTTGATGATTAAAGTTGTATTCAATAAATCTTTTTAAATAAATATAACTTAAAATGAATAGTCTACCAAAAATGCAATATTAAAATCTTAACATAACAACTTACCCAAAAAATGAACAATACTCCATAATTTACTCACCCTCAAGCCATCATTGTATACAGCCCAATCTAAAAATATTTTTCATATTTTCAAAAAAGTAGCTAGTTTTTAAGATTGTACTTAAAGTATGGATTAGATCATAAAATTGAATATGAATTAAGACACCAAATCAAAATTAAAATAATCCTTAATCCTGCCAGGGGGTTAACACACGTCATATTAAGTGCACCAATGTGTTGTTGTAACAAAAAAACAAAACAAAAAAAACAACAAAATAAATAAATAAATAAATATATATATATATATATATATATATATATATATAAAATAAATCAAATTAATCAAAAAATACATCAATTAAAATAATTTGTTTTGGGCCAATTTAAAATTTCCACTACCAGAACAGAGCTCCAGGGACCAGGGAGAGGCTGGATTGACCTGCCCCAGATCCTTGTAACATAATATTACAGTTTATTACATTTTTTTCTTTAATTAATAAATTAAATTCCAATCACTGACTTTAGTTGGCAAACAAAGCTCATAATGCGCGACTAATGTATATGATATAATATCAATTCGTAGCATAAGCTCCGAGATTAGACACATCTGACAGGAACTGCATGCCACAGATTGATTAAAGCAGAAGATGATAACGAACAAGAAAACTTGGCATTACTGTATAACAATATACAGTATATTACTCTTACAATGCTGCATGTGTCTACCTGTCTTATGCCATGCATCACACTGTACATTCATAATGTGCATTCAGTTGCACACTATATAATTATATATATAATATTTCTGTTACAAAAACATCAGTAAAAGCTTGATGTTTATTGTCTACTATACATTATTAAATGGCAGTCTCTATGTTACAATATTGATAAAATATGTTGTTGCCGATTATATGGTCTGTTTTATTCCCAATAACAGGGACTTTTAAATTGCTATAAGCCTTTTTTTACTGCAATTGTCCCACATGGCCAGTAAAATAACCAAAAACAAAGCATTTTATTTCTGTGCCAGCTTGATGCAGGCTACACTAAATGCTGGCCAGTTATACGGATTAAAAAAAAAAACTCCCTCACTGTGCTGAACTCACAGCAAGTGAGATGGAGAACACAAAAGCACACAAGCACTGAGGTTTACCGCTCAATATATAAGCTTTAAAATAATGCAATGTATTTAAAATGTAAAAATGATAAAGCAATTAAAAGTTTTAGTTCACCCAAAATGAAAATTCAGTTATTAATTGCTTTCAAACCCCTGTGACCTTCATTTGTATTCACAATACAAATTAAGATTTCCCTTACCCTCCATAGACAACAAGGTTCGAGATTCAAAAGTCCAGAAAATACAAAAATAATCACCCTTAAAACAGACCATATGCCTTCTCTGGTTCAATCAGCGTTTTATCAAGCTCTGAGAGTACTTTTGTGTGCATATAAAACCAAAATAACAACTTTATTCAATAGTCTCTTCTCCTCAGTGTCGATATATTAGGCAGGTTCACAAGGACTGTATGACCAAGTGCGACATGTAATGTGCGCCATACACTGACACCATACCTGCCAACATTTGTCTCGGAAATTCCGGGAGACCAGTGGTGGCGGTGTGTGTTTGTCTGAATAACACAGTTGAGATTGTTAGTAACTGTAATGTGGTGTTAGTAACTGCACTATGAGCTGAGTTTTAAGCGGCCGATGTGATCGGATACTATACCAAAGTTGGTGACCCGGGGGTGTTACAGACTGTACTAAAAAGCTGAGGACTGGGGGTGGGGTGAAATTATGGGAGTTTTCTGGAGTCAGGCACCTTGCCGTCTATGGCGGATCAGAAACTTTAGCTAAAATACCTTAATTTTTGTTCCTAAGAGGAACAAAGTCTCATGGGTTTGGAATAAAATGAGGGTTATTAAATTATCCCATGAATCTAAAATTAAGTATTGTTAGTTTTTAATATATCCATAAGCTAGTGTGCACCAAAACAGTGACCGAATTTGCGTTTAGAAGATTTAAAACTGATTTAAACATATAAAGCTTAATGGTAAAGTAAATAGATTAACGTTTTTTAAAATTTTTTGTCACCTCATACTTCAGTTTCTCATCAAATTGTAACCAATCAAATGCTCTCTAGTATCTGACATGTCCCGCCCCCTTCAAGAGGCTTCATGTTTGATTTTCTTGAGCTCAACCTCTCTTACTGGCAGAGCGGTGATAAAAAGAGGAAAACTATACAATGTCCCACCCTCTCTTGGTTTTTCAGTTGAGATTGCGTCAAACACGAAATACAAAACGCACATTTCAAAGCACTTCAAGACCCCTTTAATACCAATTTTAATTATTTTTGGGATAAAATAATGTTTAATTTACAAAATTAATAGTGTGGATAGAACACAGCCTCACCAATTTTAGATATCCTCACATCTAAAAACACACCAACTCCAAACGATCACTTTGCATATCAGTCAAACAACGTCTTCCACTACTTGTGTGACTATTGCAGCAAACCAGAAGTCTTACTATGTGAGATGCCACCTGAGGAGCCCACGTGGCGTAACGGCTCCAGCTGGAGATGCAATGAGCTCCACAGGCAGAGGAGGAAAAGATGATCTGCAATGCCAGACACGGACAGAGGGTCCTAATGAAAATCAATGGATGCGTTTCTTCCAGCAATAAACAGGAAGGACAGGTCTCCCCTTCAAGGGTAAACGCGGGCAATGGAAATCTTCCCAACTGTACCGCGTGTTAAACCCTCACACACAAACAGCGTGGTATACGGCAAAGGTGGCAGGAAGCGGTTTCGAGACTCCACACGTTACATCCAGTCCAATTACCCTGCAGTCATTCTCAGTCACCTCCTCGTCAAAGTGACCACACAAGCGTGAAATGCACTTAATTAGACACTCAATAGACAAGGCCAGGCTGCAAGGGCATCTGCATATGCTCAGCTGTGTGGAGATGAACTTCCGCATCTTTAATGCAAGAGCTCTGGCTTTCTTCCGCTTGTTTAGAAAAGGAAGTGTTGTTGAAGTTGCTGGTAATAACACGCACCACTAATTTGCTTTTGTTAAAAGGCTTAATCTCTGGAAACCGATGTTTATATAAATAAAGAGACATTGGCAAATTAGTGTTTAGATGCCGATTTACATGTTTGACATTCTTTCATGCATTTTTTAATGGTAGAGTCCTCTCAGAATATAAAAGGGACTTAATACTTGTTCTAATGAGGCTGAAGTCTTCATGCAATTGCATTTAAACACTTAAACACTGTAAATCTTTCTCTTCTGCTCCAGTTTAGCCTTTTTGGCGGCATTTTAGAAATTTTCTTGTATTTTTTTTTCAGTTAGTAATTTCAGTACTTAACATTATTTTATTGCTGTTTATTATGTTTATTATGTTTAAGTTTATTATATGTTTAAGTTTATTATGTATGTATATGTTTATTATGTTTAAGCATTTATCTCACTTTTATTCATTTGTTTTATTTATTTC